TAGACTCAGTTCATCATCATCCTAGAATCTATATATTCTGTAACTTTATAGATTTAAAAGGGTTGGGATATTAACATTTCAGCAACACCTATCTTGAAGGCTCATCCAATTTCCAAGCCTTTATAAGACTTACAAGCTTTGTTCAAGAACTCCAAGGAAACTCCATTTCAAGTGTGCACAACTCAGCTATGGTCACTAAGCTACATTTAATAACAAAAATATTATCCCTCAGCTGAAGTATAAGGAGAAACCACTATGTTAAAATCTTTCACGTGAGTGCCTCCTGCTTGGCAGCTGAAGTGTCTCTGCGAAGTGGAATGTCTCTGCATGGTTCTCTCCAGGGCCCTGCACAGTCAGCCTCTGTATCTGCCGGGGTGCTTTTCCTCTTCATAGCGAGCCTCCCAGGTGGGTATTATTATCTCCATCCGGCCGAAGGAAAAGAAGGCTCAGAGAAGGTCAGACAGTTGCTCTAGGTCACCCGTCATCCACTTCAGGACCAGAGCTCAGTATCTAGGCCTGCCAGGTCCCAGCACTGCACTTTCTCTAGGAGCTCCTCGCCTTCTTCCCATGTCTGTGCTGCAGGGAGGAGACTGTTTGCCTGCAGCAATGCAATCTGATGCTCGATGGGACCAGATTAAAGAAGCCACGATGATTAGGTTTGAGGCTACAGATGGTGATTGATAGTTTGTGAGCTGGGAGTGAGCATGGAGGGAGCAATGGTTAGGAAAGAGAAGTTGGTTGTTGGTTTGATACACAGGAACGGATGATCCTAGAGTGAGTATAGGCACAGGACCCATGTAAAATTTCAGTGATCAAAAAATGAAGGCTTGGGGTGGAATGAAGGCATCGGAACAGAGAAGAGATTGAAGTGAGAAAATGATAAAAAAACAAGTCAAGAGGACTTAGAAGGCAGACTGGATGATTCATAGATGCTCTTTGACTCACAGATGAGCTTTAGTGACTGTGAGAATTACAGTGCCATTGACATCTGGAAAGTTGAAAGACAGAGGTGGTCTCAGATTTTTATGAGCCAACTTTTGGCAGGATTGGCCAGAAAATGCAGCATACTTCCAGATAGCAGGAGAAGTCACTTTTCTGAACTATTCTTGGAAATAGAAAAATAATTTTTTTCCTAATCAGAACACTCATATTTCTATTTGTCCTGCTTAAATGATCTCAGAAAGAAGCCAAAGAGTTGAATATAAAAAGAAAATGCTACAGCCTGTGTCTCTCCTAAATGTCTAAGAGTCAGAGGATGGCAAATATAAGGATAATGTCTAGTTTCGGGTAAAATAAGTACCCTTTCCATTTTAATTTATTGGTGTCAAGCAACACTTTGATCTCAAATTTAAGTACTAATCAAATAACTTTTCAATAGACATTTCTTAAATAACCTGTTCTACTCTAATAATACCTACCTTATAACACTATATGGGGATTGACATAAAATCAAATATGTACCATTTTGTTTTATTGCAAGGTTTATATAAAATGCTATAATTGCCATATCATAACTTAATCATTTTGTTAAGGAGGAAAGATTAGTGAGAAAAATCTAAGATTTGGTCCCTCAGGTGCTAAATCACTACATGTCTTTGGGACAGACCTTGAAATGTTTGAATCCTTGGTTTTATACAAGGGGGCCGGTTAGCCGAGATGCCCTGGGAATCTCCACCACTGAGCATTGTGAAGGAATGCCCTCCTATGTATAGTATCAGTTCATGTCTTTGATGCAAATATTATTACTGTGGCCAATAGAGGACACCTTGAAAGTTGCATAAAAAGATTTTAATTTTCATGACACCTAAGTATCTTTAAGTTGCTAATGCTGCTGCAAATCATCAATATAATGTTCATGTCACATACAATCCCACACTAAGATGTATTTTGATCATCTTACTGTCAAAGTACCGAAATATTTTCTTTTTATCTAGTTGGAGGTGTGATATTTCACACCTATTAATAAGCTCAATGTTTTGGTACATGATAGCAAAGTTAGTATATGACCATTTCATTGACAGAATTAATTTAGGCGCAACGTACACCCAGAAGTAGTCTAATTTAGATTTTTTTGTCTCTCAATTTAAATGTGCCACATTTATTTAAAGCACATATCAGTCTCCTTACCTAAAATAATCATCCCCCCTTCATTCTACCTGCTCAAATTTTACCCATTCTTTAGGACCCAGCTAAAGGCAAGTATTTTACAAAGCATTTCCTAACTATCCCAGCCCATAGTCATCTTCCTAACCTCTAGTCTCTATCTAATTTGGTGCTCAGTAAAAGACTGCCTTGTATTATTTGCTATCATTTTATGTTTTAGAACCAACTAAAATGTACTAAAAAATTGACAATTATTCCCACCAGAAAGGACGGCCCAAAATAGTTATACAAGGTAAATTTACTAAAACCAAATTGTGAACTTGTTGATTCTTGTCAAAGTCTAGTGCAACTCGATATGAACATCAGTTCAAAATGACTATTCACTCAAATTATTCAATCAGTCAGTTCTAAAAACTGGCTTATGGAAGACTGGGAGGTAGGACCTGTCTCTTCCACCCCCAACACACACACACACACACACACACACACACACACACACACACACACACACCCCCCCACATACTCTGTAGCACACACATACTCAACCACACACACTGGAGCACAAATTTATACATGAGTAGCAAACTATGTAAGAGAAACTCCCTGGGAACTGAAGCAATAACATTTTTTGAGCACCCATTTTGCTGAGCCCTGTGGGTAAGGAATTCACACATCTACAGTCATCTTTAACCCAGATTCAGAGTCTATTACAGTCCATTACATTGGTGGTTAGGGCGCGCCTCCGAGCATCGGCCTGCTGGGTTAATCTGGGAATTTTCCTCTTGGGTCAGACATGAAACCAAGATGAGAAAAAAATATGAGCTGAGGAGGAGGGCAGCTGTCATCCTCCTGCAATAAAAACCATGTATTCCACCAAACTGAAGAAGTTCACTCTTTGTAGTTGAAACTGCACATTACTTTGAGTTCAAATTCTTTCTATTAATATATAAGATTTATTGAAATTACATTGTTTGAGCAGGAGCAAGAAGGTGGAATATTATTTCAGGTTTTCAAGCCATCAGGGAAAATAGTTCCTTTAGGTTTTCCATTCAAACTAGGAAAATTACGGCTGCATATTTGCAACACTGAAGCTAATGCAGTGTCAGCACCTCCATCACACCCCGTTGCGCAGCAGTTTATAACTCACGCAGAGTGTTCCCTCCAAGCCCGAACTTGGCCTATACAATCGCAAAGAAAAATGCGGAAAAATTATTCTGGCTAGTGTTGACTTATAAAAGCAAAAGAGAGGGTGCTTTTACAGAGTATTTTGGAAAATATCTTTGAGGATTTGAGACTATAAAGGGGAATTACTGAGTCGACACCCTTCATTCCTAAAGTTACAGAAATAACTAAAAATTACATGATGTCACGTCAGCATCAGCAGCATCTTAACCACTTTCCTGACAGTCTTCACCAGGTGGAAGTATGTATCAGACAGAATTACTATTCATCAAGAAAAAAACAATTATAGCGGAAAATAAGGACAAATAGGTAGAAATTTCTCCTAAGAGCCATCCTACGTCTTTAGGTACATTTCCCCTTTAAGCGCTAGCTCTCTAGTGCACTGCACACACACGTGCAAAATAAAAATATATTTTTTCCAATTGGAAAAAATATGTTTTCTCCCAAATCAACCTTCCTCCTTCCAAGTGTTATCTTGGACTCAGAGACAACTTCGCGTTGAAGCGGATTTCCAGGGGCAGGTGACGAGCCCAGCTGACGGGCGGCGGGCGGCTCCGCGGCGGGGTCACCCACTGCCTGGCGCCCCTGGGGCGCCCCGGGGTCACAGCAGCCAAGCCCTGCTCGCTGACCGCCTGCGGGGCCTTCACAACGCACCACAGCGCCGGCTGGCGGCACCGGGGCGCTGCGGCGCCAGGCACCCCC